ATATATATAATACATAATAAGTGATTATTTGCATAATTAATTTTTCATTAATTATTTCTAGTAATGTTGTAATTTTTTATTGAATAATAATAATTACATTGTAGTAATTATTACATTGATAATAATTACATTATTCATGCAAGCTATTATATATTTTATATCTTTCATAAGAATGTTTTTTCTTACTTTTTATTATCCTTATATTTTCTTTATTATTTTTCATTGTAATTCAAATAATAATTTTTATAATTTTTTATTTTCTTTATATTTATTATTGTCTATTTACTTTATATTTATTTTTTATTATTTTCTTATATTTATTCTTGTGTATGTCATAGCTCTTGATTCTTTCCGACCCAGAGTCGGAGCTACGTTTTCAAAATCACATTACCTATCACACGATTCTATTTAAAACCAATGTATCAATCAATGGAAATTTTTATCGTTAATTTACAACGATTTATATGACTATTCTGTACTAAACTGTACAATAACAGATTACATGAGCGATATTCATCATTGTTTGTTGTAATTATTTAATTTGCCACGTAGTATTTTATCATACATATAAGTGATACACATATGTGTATTACAATAATAAAATTGAATTTTGTCAGCAATGAAAAGCCACAGGAAGTATACAACAATATTACAAATACTCTGTTACAAATATAATTATTCTTATCCAGTGTTACAAGATAAAAAATAAATTGAAAGAAAATTAGGCTTGAATTTTCCGATTTTTATATCCTGGACTGCAAAGAGTTAAATTTGACAATGTACCTTGCCATTAATTCTTTATTATCATTGTCTTTTTATTTCTACCAATTCTTACTTATTTTTTTCTTCGCTTTTTCCTTTTATCTTCTTTTCTAATTTGATCGGTTTGTTTCTTTTTTTTGCCTGTGTTCGTATTCCTCTCTCCGTAGGTGCATATACACCCTCTTGTCTCTCTCCTACCTTCATTACTTCTCTATTTTCACAGTCATTGACGCGACGTGTGTACCGTGAAATTAAACAATCCCGATTAACGAAATCGAGCGAACTTTTAATGCGTCTGTAATATTGAATAAATATTTGCAATCAAAGAGTAATTGTAAACTGTTCTTGTTTATTCTTTGCTTGTGTTAATCCTTCAATTTTTCAAGAAGTTAAATATTTCATAGCTCAATTCGTGATAATCAGCAGTTTTATTAACAATTTATATAAGTTTATGTACTATTCCTAAATAAATTCTACTATTTATTAACAATACCTATTGTTTTAATGATATATTAATGATATATTAATAATAAAGTTTAATAAAATAATAAAATAATGAAGATATATTAATAAGAAAAGTTTGTCATGATTTTAGCATAAATGTCTGGAAAAGTTACTCCTCATCGATTTAAATGTTGTCAAGGATATCATTTTGAACAATTATATGGATAGTATCATTTTTAGAGATAATTTTCTGTACATATAATGGATAGTAGCTAGTTTTTAGAGATAATTGCAAAAAAATATTCGTTTATTTTGATATACACATAAAAATTTTAAGATAAGCACTACATTTGTTTCAAAATTAGAAGATTCAAAAATTGAAAAATTATATTATCTATAAGAACTATTAAATTAGATTATGATACTTTGTATAAAAAAATAATTAAATGTTAATATATTAACAATTGCATTACGTGCAGTTAAAAATTTTATTATCTATTATAAATAATCTATTATAAATACGGAATATTTAAAATAAGAAATGTCCTAAAATTTTTCAGCAGAAATATATTATATACTGAATCTTTCACTAATATTATTTTCGAATGTTACTAATTCGGAAATCCTTTATTTTCATGAGTATACGCACAAAAAAATGCGTTGAAAAATTTGTAAATTTACTATTTACAATAACTATTCTTCTAAGCTTCAAAAAAGATATAAAGAATTATTTAACAAAGCCTTTGCTGCGTTATAGAATCAGTTTTTAAATCAAGTCTTTAAAGATCAGGAAGAATAAAAATTTGCTTCAAAGAATTCGTGAGTGAAATTTCATTGACCATTTAATTTGAAGGGTTAAAAGATGTCTTAAGATTTTTGAATGAGAAAAATATATGTGTTAATTGTATGTTAACTGTGAAGAAATGCAGCTTGTATAAAAGCCTATTCTATTTTCCTATGATTTTATATGATGAACCTGTTAATTTAATAAGAAGAAAAATAGCGATTGCTTGGTATCATCCCTATGGAAACTATATAGCTAAAAAAAAAAAAAGATTATCCTTCCTGCATCCAACATGTTAAACATACAAATTTTCTAAACCATTCGTGCCACCAATTACGGTTGTTGCTGGCCTTAACATCTACATTAACAAGTCTACTATATACTAAAATTTAATCATAGAAAAGTAGTACAGGCTCCTACACAAAATGGAACTCTTCACAATTAACATGCAATATAAGCATCGTGCATGTAGTGTAAATACATATATACATACATATATAACAGATTCGTAACATTGCATGTTAATATGTATAATAAAAATAAAAAACTGCTTAAAAAAAGCGTCTTAAACTTATTTGTGTAATAAATAAGTTTTAAAAAACTTAATGTGGCATAATGCAAAAAATATTTTTAGCCTATCAAACACCCAATAATTAACAGTATCTTTTTTTCAAAGTTTTTTTGGAGTTTTCAAGTTTTATAGTTATGCATATATATATATATATATATATATATAATTTCGGGACATTTGAATATTTGAAATCTCAGTTTATGCAATATATTTATACAGAAATATATTATTTATAGGTATATATTTTTATTGAAGATTTCGATACCTGTCAGTGTAAATATCATATACCTATCGGAGTAAATGTCGAACAGGATTATTTGACGAAACTAAAACAGATATGGTATATTTGAAACTTAATTTGTTTCTTTAGTCCATTAGTAGGATTAAACTGACTTTACTAGCATTTGTGGTACGAAAAGCCTCTGTTGCTATTCGTGCTCCGAAATTACGAATGGGTTCCAATATTTTCAACAGTCGAGAACTGGCAGAAGCATATATAATTGAATCATATTCAATTTTACAAAGTAGATAGAAACTGTGTAGATGGTTGTTAATATGAAGAAATCTGTTCTTCATTTCTTGTGAAATGAGCATTTAAAAATATTGAATCGTTTAATACAGTTTGTCAATGTACTTCTGTTAAAAGTGAGCCTTAATAGTTTTAATTTCTAACAATTTAATTAATTTTTCAATTTATTTTAAATATAAAAATATATATGATTTACATTTTATTACATCTCGTTGTTTTATTCCCTATATTGATATTTTTCATTCCATTTCCCTCTATTTATTTTATTTTACAACTGTTTAATTTTGAAAAATAAATAAAATAACACATAAATATTTTTTTGTAATAAATGTATAAATATTTATGTCTTTAATAAATATATGAATATTTTTTTGTAATTAATATATGAATATTTATGTTTAATTTCATTTAGAAAAGTGAGGAAAATTACATTTCTTTCTTTCTTGGAGTTTATAAGCAGTATGTGCATAATAATGCAAAACAGGAAGTTGAAAATATTACTTTTGATTCTTTGATTACTTATTAAAAACATTATTTTTGAAATAAATAGTTAGAATAACTTATACATTCAAATACTACTCAATACGATTGTAAGATTTTTTGTTTAGGACACAAATAATACTATTTAATATGTACAAAATAATATAAAATTATATATATATATATATATATGATCACATAAAATTAATATTAAAAATATTAAATATTTAAATTATCTTGAATAAATATTAAATATTATCTTGAATAAATTATTAGAAAAATTCTTAATAAATTATTGTATTTGAACTTTTACCAAAAATATAAATGTAAGTTTTAAATTATAAATAGTGTCTTACCAAAAATGTAAAATGCCCAAGCAGCACGAACGTTGTGGGGACAATGTTTAGAAAAAGCAGAACATAAGTCCAATATGTCTTCCAAACTTAAACGATTGTCTCTTTGTGAAGAAAATACTCGAAATATTGAATCACGAAATGGACTGCACTAGAATAAGTTAATATTTTACATATCATATATATTAATTTATATTACTATTATTCGTATATATGTATGTATTGTTCATTATAGACAAGAAAATATTGACTTTATTATTTAAGATAGTTTTCGCTTGTGGTGTCACTCACAGAGAATGCATGTATATTATGAAATATTAACTTCAGTTCTTTTCGAAATAATGTCAAAACTATTCCAAAGAAAGAAATCTATTATTTATAAAATATTTCATTATTAAAAAGATAAATATTTCCTTCAAACCATTTTTCCATTTCTTTTTTTACATACTGTTATGCAAAGTTTATGTTCCATTAGATTGTTACGTATAAAATGTTCGATTTAATAATTAAATTTAGTGACTAAAATCCTTAATTATCCAAAATTTAATAATTAAAAATACTGTTCAATAATATTTATTGGTAATCAGTGTAAAGCTTAAAGCCAATAAAGAATATATTCATAATTCGATTAATATTACAATCAAGAGAAATGCAAATTGACTGAAAATTAAAAGTTTTTAACATAACGAAAATGTACGTTTTTCAGAAGAAGCGACAAACTGATTTTGATCAGAATATTATTTTGTTAATTAAAGAAACGCAATTCAAAGTAATGCACTTCTTATCTTATCAATAATGAAAATTCATAATAAGAGTTAGAACAAAATTTATAAATACATGTAATGAATCAGGAAGATGTACGGATATAATTCTTTCTCACCGGCCAAATTAGATCAATAAATTAGTCATTTTCATAACTAGTCAAGGATTTTTCTTGCAACACTTTTATAATGATAACTCGAAAATCGCGTTTTTTTTTTTAATTATGTTACTTCCTGCGCAAGAAAAAATCGTCAAAAAAATACGATTAAAAATTAGTATATTTAGTGATATTTAATATTATATACTTTTTTGTATTGAGTATAGTATGAGAAAGGTAGAAGGAAATAATTCATCGTTATAAAAATATTTATAAATTGTCATTAGAAGATTTCAACCATTAATAATATGAAATGAATAACAATTTTTAGCAAGTATTTGTAAAATAATCGTGTCAAATAAAAGTATATATATAATAAGTATAATTAGTATAAATAAAAGGTAACAATTAACTTACTCTTATCTGTGGTAATAAGCTGTTAATTTCATCAATGGTGAAACGATGTTGAATATTCTCACGAAGTTTTCCTGGATTTACAATGTCAAGTAACTTAATAATGCTGAAAAAGTGAATTTAGAATTTTAGACATAAACTTTAATGAAAGTATCAAATGTTTGTTTTAATTCACTTTTCTTTTTTTAATAATATTATTAATATAAATTGTGATATTGAAACATTAACATAATTTTAATGTATGATTTTTATTAATTCTATATGTAATTACAATTACAGATATTAAAGAGACAAAAACATTTAAAAAAATTATTAAAAGTGTTTTACAATAATAAAACTTTTAATATTATTGTAAAATATAATTATATTTTTTAATTATGTAATAACTATGTAATATGTACTATGTAATAACAAAACTTATGTATTTTTATAAATAATTACTCACTACTGTATTTCACTTTTTCTTAAATATGTTAATTCCACGTAACCAGTCACTGTTTCTTCATCAAGAATATGGTCAGTTGACGAAAAATTTCCCATAATAATATATGAATATTATTCGAATAATATCAACGAATTCGAGCGAGTTAATGCACTGTCAACCATAACTGTACTGCTATCCATTATCAATGCATCGATAAAATGTTATCTATTTTCAAATGCTATCTCATCTCTCGGAAGTAGCACACTCAATACTAATAAAATTTCAAATACTACTGATAACTTTGTGCAATATAATATTCCATACATTAACATAAAAGCAATTTTAAAGATTTACGCCCATGTAAATCCGTTTGTTCAAAATATACAAAAATTATATATATGTATGAAATTTTACTATTATGAATAAATTATATTTACTATTTATTGTTATTTATATAATCTTTTTACATATACAAATACAATACGATATAATAAAAGATAGAAAAATACGAGATACATTTAAATAATTTATGATTGATACATTTACTCATTTTAAAAATAGAAAAAGTGTTTAAGAAAGAATAGAGAAAGTGTTTTCAATATCATTTTTATTTTCTTAAATTGAAGTGTATATATTTTTATAGACTAATCAACGAGTTTTTTTTATTCTCTGTTCAATGCTGATATTAAGATATTTCAAATTTAATTTTGTAATTTTGTAATTTCTTATTGTTAGCATACGAAAGATAAAGAAAAATACAGAGAAATATATTTATCTTTTCCTAACATTATATTTCCTAACACATGAATGATCCAATAAAAATTAGCACTTGAACCTCTCCGTTGTTTTCAGAAATATAAAAGAAAACTTTATCAACAAAAGTCTTTCAGTATAGAAGAAGCTATAATGTGATAGTGATTCATTTTGTAATCACTAATAGCGTTTCAAAGTCACTTCTAGTTTTTTTAAAATGGAATCATATTTTTTAATTCATTAGTCGAAACACCTCCTTCCCAACATAAATATAATGTCGAAGAATTATTAATTCAAAAGATATTTGAAGATATTTATCGTATGAAAGACGAGAAATGCAATAGTATTATTTTAGATATTATGTAATATTTATGAAAACGAAGCGTATTTTTTCTCTAGAATATAAAAATATTATTTTAATTTAGTATTTAATAACAGGATTTTTTATTGTATTTATATCTATTTTTATAGAGACAAGTATTTTGTGAAAATTTAAACTACAAAAATAATTATTAATAATGTTAATAATAATTAATAAACATTTTCTGCTGAAATAAATTTTTTTATATTTCTATTGTCCCTACCGTGTATAGATCTTTTTAACGATAGCTTCATTTTTCAATGTAATTTTTTATTGGATTATCAGTCATAAAATAGAGAAGAAATATTTATAGAAATATGTACAAATAAATCGAGGAAAATATGTTAAAGTTTCGAAATTAAAATTCCGAATATTTAAACGGAACACGACAATGAAAATTTATCATAATCAGACATTTAATTAGAAAATCGCAATTTATAGACGAAGTCTAGTGGCCAATTTTTCAAGTGCTTGATCAATGTATAGTCTGTTCATCTACCGTCCTATACTTTTATATACTGTATCGTAGCAGTCCATTAGTCTGTCCTAAAAGGAATGCATATTCATGAAATAATAAATAAGAGTAAAAGATTTATATTCAACGAGCGTACACACCGAGTACATAGAGCTTCAAGGATTCGCTTAGAATTAAGCAGCGTATACTGCAGCACGTAAATGATTAAACCGATTACACCTGGAATGCAGAGAATTTCGGTAGATGGGAAGAGGTTTAATTAGACCGTCAATGAGTGAGCTTACTGATTGGAAAACGGTCGTATCGCGCGATTTGTACGTTCGTCGAGAATGATGTACTTCAGCTCGAGGATTGGCTGCTATCGATTCGGTTAAACTTGTAAGGTACAATCAAATTGCTATTAATTCCTTTTTGTGATTATCGATTTAACGATGGCGTTACATGAAATATATTATTGTTGATATCTTTGTGAAGTCGACAAGTTGAACTTACTTTCTAACAATGAAGATGTGTTAAGGAAACTTGTTTTGAATTACATGTGTATGTAATGATCAAAGTTTCAAGTTAAATATGAAGTTTTATACATTGACTATTTTTCAAATATATTGATAAATATACATGTGTATATATATTCTTGAACATGTATTATAAGTTGTCATAATAACTAATCTCGTAAATAAGGGCATGTAACTAGATTGTTATCAAATGATTTTAATAATCTTGCATGTTACGTTATCGATTTTGAAAAAGCAACTATTGAAATTTAGTGGATTTCACATTTCTGAAAATATAATTCAAAAAAATAGAGCCTGTATAGAAAATTATTATTTTACACGCCAAAAATTATAAAAAGCACTTTTGGATATTTTGTATATATATTTTTGTATTTTATATTTTTAAATTTCCTATGAACGCATAAAAATCTATAGCCTAATAATAATAAAACATAGAATGACCACTTATGCTACATGTTTATCAAAATTAATATTTACAAATCGTTATTTAATCCCTTGACTGTTATTACTGCAAATAAGTTGTTTCATTACTAAGATCATATATTCCAGAATACGGTTTCAGCAATGTTCGATAATTATAGCCTTCATTAAAAGTCTGATATAGGATGACCAATAAATGA